TTGCTCCCGTGCCTCGCTCAGCCAGTGAGCGGGAACCGGTCTGTATGTGGGATCCGAACCCTCGGCGGGAGCGCTGCCGTGCTTCCCAAGCGGCGCACTTAAGCAGTGCGCCACCGGGCCGGCCCCAGTAACCTCCAATTTCAAAGAAACAATTGATAAGTCAGTTATCTTAGTAACTGCTAAGGGCACATAGTGAGGAAAGTGTCAACTAAAATTTACATACTAAAAAATAAAGATATCTAGCAGAGTTTAAACTTTTATGTTGAAGCAAATTATTTAAATTAAAAACAATTACTGATTTCATGAAGTTGGAAAGTGTCTGACTTTAAAAATGCATAGAATAAAAATGCTAACAAAAGATTAAAGTTTCCCTAAAGATGCTTCTTATAGGGCCGGCCCCGTGGCGCACTCGGGAGAGTGCGGCACTGGGAGCGCAGCGACGCTCCTGCCGCGGGTTTGGATCCTATATAGGACTGGCCGGTGTGCTCACTGGCCAAGCGCGGTGTGGGCGACACCACACCAAGGGTTGCAATCCCCTTATCAGTCACAAAAAAAAAAAAAAAAAAAAAAAAGACAAAAAGGTGCTTCTTATAGCCTCTACATACTAAGTTAAATGGAACATATCTAAATATTGAGTAACCAATTACTGTTTCTTCATTGTTAGTTGTCTATAAATTAAGTACAGTTCCAGTGAAATACCATTATCTTTTGGAAGAGGGCTAAATCTGCCATTTCTTAGACTAAGTAGAATACTGTTCATGAGGTTCCTCCCCCATTTGTTCTAATTGCCAAGCTTTGCTTCAGTGAGCCCTTGGCACCTAGTGATTAACAGTGACAGCAGAGAGTAGTGACCCAAAGAGATGGAGAGAATAATGGTGTAAGACAGTATATAAGGACAGTAAGCCATTGTATTTGTGGCATCACTGTTTGTCAAAACTCCTTAACATTCTAACAAGGCGATTTTTGGTTATCTTGAAGATTAAGGACAGTCCTTACATGAGACTCAGTTTCAGACTAAAGTGCATAAAAAAGCAAATTATAGTTTTTAAACAACTTTGAGAAGTAGCAGCCACTAACGCAGTTGTTTTAGACTGGCCTTCCAAATGAAGTCCGCATATGGGTTGAGAGTGTGTCACAGATGTCAGTGATTGTGAAACCGTAACTGAAAGAAGGGAAGGTACAGCTCTGTACACACACCCAAGAGGAGCCAGATATTCACTGTGGGCATACAGGGGATAACGTCAACGACAACTGACTTGGACAGGACTGTTAGCAGTCTGAACCCTGGTGCCATGCCTTGTGCTAGCCCCAGCAGGTGAGGAGATTGACTGAGACTGCTGAGCTCTAAGGGCTCAGTACAGAAAGTTGGTTAGGGCTGGGAATGTGTTGGGTTTCCAGAAGCCTTTAAGTCGGGTGGTTGAGTAAAATAAGGTGGTAGTGTTGGTGGTGGTGGAGTATTCTACCTCCAATTCACGGAGAAGTCTTTTCTCCATGTAATATAGACAATGTGTTGGGTTTCCAGAAGCCTTTAAGTCGGGTGGTTGAGTAAAATAAGGTGGTGGTGGTGGTGGTGGTGGAGTATTCTACCTCCAATTCACGGAGAAGTCTTTTCTCCATGTAATATAGAAGCTGTTCTTCTATGATTTGCAAATACCATGTGTTTCTGTCATGGGAATAGCACACAGTTATCGAGAAATATGGAAAAGATCGTAAAAAATAGGTGGAAGAAAACATAGGATCTTCTAATTGAATGTTCACTTGTGAAGAGTCCAAAAAACCCTCAAAAAATAAAAAAATAAAAAATCTCTATAGGCAGCAAGCATCTAAGCCTGTTATATTATTGAATATTTTTTCAATTCTTATTTCGAAGCAGAGATATTTACAATGATTTTTATGTGGTAAATTTTTAAAATGTTGAAAATAACCTGAAAAGGGAAAGTTGACCCAAGCTATTTTCTTCTCCCTCTTATAAAAAACAAACTTTTGGATAAAAATTTAACAATTACTGAACTGATTATTTTTAAAGGTTTTTCAAACAATTTGATTCTCAAGCTGGTTTGTTTCCTTTACTATTTTGGTTGGTTGTCTGGCATTAGTAGTGCACTCTGTGAGGCTCTTATTGGAGGTTTAACGGCATTAAGAGATTAAAAAATCAAACAAGTCCAGTATGAAAACCTTTAATCTGTAAATAAAATAAGAGTTGTTTTCTTTTCTAATATTTAGCTTATATAGATTTTTGTGAAAGTTTTGTTGGACTTATTAAAAAGTTTTGTTTGCATGGACTAACATCAGAAACAATATTTTTCCACTTTGCTCACATTTGAAGTTAGGACCAGCAGCATTTTTAGCATGACTCTTCCATAAACCCAAGACTCCACAGGAGGGTTTGAGCACTTTAGGGGATTGGGTCTTCTAATTTTGCTTCAGAAACCAATAGTCAAAATGTTTGGTCTGGAGGTGAATTACACCACTGTCTCTGTATCACTGGCCAATAAAAATACTTTGGGGAAATTTCTCAGAAGGCACAGGGCCATATGCAGGTACTTCAAAAAGTTCATGTAAAAAAGTGGAATAAAAAGATAATATGAATCTTTCCATGAACTTTTTAAAGACCTCTCATATTTTTGTTCTTAAAACATCTCACCACAAACTCATCCACACCTATGGTTTGTCAACCTAGGGAAATGTTGGTATATGGATGGTCATTAGTACCATTATTTATTAAAAGTCCTTTGAAGGCAATTTATGTAACTTACATATTATTAATATTTTAATTTAGGTATTCTCCAGTTATATACAAAGATCAAAACTAGGCAGCTTCCATTTTATAGAACTGGCACCTTTTATATGGCCATGGGGACATCTTGGTGGCTGTAGATTACGATGTGTATTTCTATAGACTGAAATCAAACTTAATATCTTACATATTTCAAGTGTTTTTATTCTGAGCAGTAGGTACAAAAAATGACAGGTACGTCTTATTCTGTATAGTTCAGCCCTCTCCACAGGCTCACAATCTGTTTTGATCCACTTTTATCAGATTTAACAGATCCTTGAATTCATTTTATTGTATATACTTTCTTCTTATTCTCATTAAGAATCAAGCTAATGTTGGAAATGTGCATCTTCAGACTTCATTAAGGAACTCCAGATTGAGACACGCTGGGATGTGGATTGAGTCCATGGTCAGAGAAGATGGATTAAATGGAAACAAAACAGGAAACATGTGCTTGGAGTCTAATAGCAACTGCTGAGGGTCATTTCGCTCTTGTAGTTGTGCCTGTGGGGAAGAATAAGACCATATGAATACTTAGTACACCTAAAAATAGCCAGTTTAAGTGAATTCACAAAAGTGAATTGGCATATATCCTGGAAAGGTTTCTAAGATAATTAGGTAGGACTTCAGGATCAGGGGAATGTGGCCTCCCTATTCTTGAGGTATTTAGCATGGAGAGAAGCCCACGTTCAGGCTTGTTGGCGATCAGATAACTATAAGCACTCTTCCAATTCTGGCATTTAAAAAAATTTCCATCTAAGGGAGAATATAAAAATACATCTTGGGTGCAAATCACGTGGAGAGGCACTGTAGTGAAGTGGTTAAAAGCAGTTCTAGATGCAGACAGCCTGAGCTCTAATCCTGGCACCACCCTGGGCAAATTTCTGAACTTTTCCATGCCTCAGTTTCTTCATCTGTTGAATGGAATGGGGAAGAGTAACATCACATAAAATGGCAGAGTAGGAAGCTCTAGGGGTTGGTCTCTTCATTGAAGCAACTGCTGAGCTGGAAGGAGTAATTAGGCATTTATAGCCACCGAGAGATACTTGATGAAGGGAGAAGTTGATCTTTGCTATGAGAGCAGTGTGTGAACCCAGCTACCATCCACCATTCTTCAGCCTCACTGCAGCTACAGGGACAGCAACCTGCATTCCTGGAGCAGCTGGCTGGTGCCAGGCAGGCAGTGGGACCCCATTCTACAAAAATTTGGGGTTGTACAATTTGGTTGGTCTGGTGGGTCCCAACACAGATCCCTGTCTTGATTTAGGCTTCTCTTGGGATGCAGTAGCTTCCCCAGGTGGCATCAATTGGAAGATTTAAAGGGACAAAGCCCCTCCCTCTTTTCCCTCTATTTGAAGTCAGACATTTTTAGGAAAACTCAAATAACTGAGGTGAAAAATTCACTAAGGGAGTTCAACAGCACACTTAAGCAGGCAGAAGAAAGGATCAGTAAACTTGAAGATAAGGCAATGGAAATGAACCAATCTAAGGAGGAGGAAGAAAAAAGAATGAGTAAAAGTGAACAGAGCCTGTGGGACCTTTGAGACACCAGTAAACTTACCAACACATACATTATAGCAGCCCAAGAAGAAAAGAGTGAGAGAGGGGCAGTGAAATATTTGAAGGAATAATGCCCCCAAACTTCCCAAATATGATGAAAGATGTGTTTATACTCATCCAGGAAGCTCAATGAACCCCAAGCAGGATAAATTCAAAGAGATTCACAGTGAGATATATTATAGTCAAATTGTCAAAACCCAAAGACAAAGAGGGAATCTTGAAAGCAGCAAAAGAAAAGTGACTTGTCACATACAAGGTATCCTCAAATGAGATTAATAGCCGATTTTTTTTTTTTTTTGTCAGAAATTATGGAGGCTAGGAGGCAGTGGAATGACATAGTTAAAGTCTGGCAAAACTACCCTTCAAGAATGAAGGAGAAAGTCATCTCCAGAGACAAAGACGGACATAATATTTTGATAAAAGGGTCAATCCACCACTAATATTATAATTACAGACAGATATGCACTTAGTAACAGAGCCCCAAAATACGTTAAGTGAAAATTGACAGAATTGTAGGGAGAAATAGTTCTACAAAAAGAGCTGGATACTTCAATACTGCATTTTCAATAATGGATTGAACAACCAGTCAGATCAATAAGCAAATAGAGCCACAAGCAAAACTATAAACCAGTTAGACCTAACAAACGTATAGAGAACACTCCAGTCAACAGCAGAATACAGTTTTCTCAATGCACATGGAATGTTTTCTGGGATAGACCATATGTTTCACAAACAAGTCTTAGTAAATTTAAAAAGATTGAAATCACACAAAATATTTTTTCTGGTTACAATGGAATCAAATGGAAATAAGTGAAGGAAAAAAACATGAAAAACCCACAAATGTGTGGAAATGAACATACTATTAAATAGCAAGTAGGTTAGAGAAATCACACGGAGAATTAGACAAATGAAAATACAATATACCAAAACTTATGGGATATGGTGGAAGTAGTGCTAAGAGGAAAACTTATAGCTGTAAATGTCTACACTACAAAAAGAAAAATCTGAAATCTATAACCTAACTGTATACCTTAAGGAACTAGAAAAAGAAGAGCAAACTAAATTCAATGCTACCAGAAGGAAGGAAATAATAAAAATTAGAAAGAAATGAAATAGAGAATAGAATAATACAAAAATCAATGAAATTAAAGTTGGTTCAAAAAAATTGAGAAATCTTTAACTAGACTAAGAGAAGACTAAAATCAGAAATGAAATTACTGAAATCAGAAATGAAAGTGAGGACATTACTTCCAATTTGACAGAAATAAAAAGGATTATAAGAGAATACTATGAACAATTTTCTACCAACAAATTGGATAACCTAGATGAAATGGACAAAATCCTAGTAACACACAAACATACCAGAAACCAGTTGACAGCTGACTCAAGAAATAGAAAATCTGAATATTCCTATAACAAGTAAGGAGACTGAATTTGTAATC